GGTGAATATTCACTGTTTTAGTGATTGACGTCCAGAGAGTATCTGATACTTAAAAAACGTTTGGAAAAGGAAACGTAAAATAATCAACGCGTTCTACTTAAAATCTTTCCTTTGGTTTTTCTTACTGAATTATTCAGCGCTACACTTATAACTGTAAATCAACGAACATTCACTGTCTTCCCGTGATAATCCACTGATTGACTTTTACATCTAATGATTTATAAACGTTTAGAAAAGAAAACGTAAAAAAAATCAACGCGTTCTGCTTGAGATCTTTTCTTACCGTTTACTTGTACGAACACACATGTCGGAATACATTCCCGATAGACACGGCGCATACAAGTTAACACATATACATAAGTACGTACATCTGCAGTTGCACTTTTCACAATTATTATTAACGACATAATAAAATATGATGACTTACGGCAACACCGTGACACGCGACGTAGGCTCGTAGGGAAAGCCGCAGCTGTAAATCCTGCTTCCACCTGTACTTTATAAATCATGAAAGAACGCATTCGTACCTGAGTACAATCGGCAGGAACGGTCGCGTTACGTGACATTAATCTTGGATCGCGATAAGTGACGTCACCCTCGCGCGAGCAGCGCGCGTGACGCACTTTCCGGCGCTGATTTATTTATTTATATTTTCGTTTTTATTTTTTTGGGGGGTCGTTGAAAAATCGGAATTTCTTGGAGTCCCGGGAGAACCGCGTCTCGATCGTCATTATGAATTTCTGCCTGGGGAAATGGCACTTATCGATTCGGCGCACGTTCACATCCACCTGGCCGAACGGGCGGCATCGACGTCTCTCTAATCGCGCGTCTCTCGAAAAACTGCTAAATATTTCGATAAACAATTTATAAGCAAACGTCAACGTTCGATCGCCAATCGGAAATAGTCCCGGGCTGGGTTTTATTATTCCAGCGATTTTTGAATTCTTTAAATCCGACCTCTCGCGTGCCATCGACACTTTCAGCGGGGTAAAAATCCCGCCGATATCGCAATATTATTAGCGTCCCTCGCCGGCGGTGGCGCGCACCCCCGGCCGTTCCTCTTTTGAGACGGTTGCTCCGCCCGTTTGGAGGATTAATTACATGTCGCTTCATCTCCGCGAAAGCTACTTCGGACACCCCGGTGGCGCCGGGGGTAGCTTCATTGCCAATTCCAATTGGAGAAAATCGTGGAAAGTCCGGTATGCCCACCGGTACACTGTGCAAAGTTGCTCCCGACCCGCTTCCTCGGACTTACCGCCGCCCTGCAGCCTTTACGCCCGCCGTTACTTTCCAACGCAAACGAACTCCTGTCCCCGGCCCCTTTTAGCGTCGGCGACGTAATCCGCATGAGCGACGAAATTAAATGAAACGGCAGCGAAAGAATTAATTTGATATTACACACTGTCCGGCTGCGTGACACTCGTGAAAGGCCGTCCTCCTCCTGGCAGTCGTCCCGTGTTTTGCCGCGCGAGGGAACAGTTGGACGTTTGTTTCAAGTTTATCCAAAAGGTAATTCATTTCAACTGCTTTTTTTTTATCCGCAGGTGATCGCTTTTTGCTTCTAGCAGCGTCATAAATCACCGCGCGATGTGAAACGTTAAATAAAAAGCCGTCTCTTGCATTCTGAGCTCTGCTGGAAATGCAATAATGTCTGGATTATAACTGGGTAGTGAAGAGAACAACCGGAAGGGCAAAAGCGCTTGTTGTAACTCGCAAAAGCATTTTGCAATATAACGCGAATAACGTTATATTAATACAATATTAAAGCATACGCGTACGGCTTATAATCAATTACTATTTAACTACTAATATTTCGTTCTTTCCCACAGAATTGTAACTAATTATCGGAAAGAAATAATTATATTTTATTATTTTCACACATTCCTTTTCTATCGTAAGTCGCAACATAATTTAATTTATAATGTAAATAATGCAAATGATAGAAACGTTTTATGCGGTCGTACTGAATTTTGTTGTTAATGTCTAATAGTATTTTTAAAAAAGGTAAAGAAAGACGCCAAGTATAAGCGCCATCCAATCGAGAATTATATAATTTAATTATTTGAATATATTTTATTAGAAGAAAAAACATTTTTATCTTCTCTACAAAAGCAATGATATCGTTAAATTGCGCCAACTAAAATAGATAGTTGTACAAACTAGAAACTTTATTATTTTAAAATATTATATCCATCAAACAATCGAGCATAAGATTTTACCGAAAGAGATTAATGAGACAACTTTTTAAAACTTATTAATGTCTAATAATATTTCTTTGCGTAAAAAAGAAGTGTTGCAACAAGATCAGCGTAACTGCCTTGGTTTTCGACCGGCGTGAAAATCGTTTCGGAAATCGCCTCGAGATATTTTCTTACGAATTTATGGGCGGCGGGGAGGTATTCAGGGCGCAAGAAGCGAATGGACCATCCTGCACCTAACATCTCGTTGTTAAAATCGAATAGGAAAACAATCGGGGTTAACGACGGAATGATTGCCCTTAAAATAAGTAACAATTTTTGCCTAACGAGGCAAAACAAGCGGATAATTTATTTCGAGTCTATTTACCCCGTTGAGTCCCCAAGTCCAACAGTCTCTCTCTCTCCCCCCCCCCCCTCTGTCTCTCTTTCTCTCTTTCTTTTTCATAAGCTAACTTCCAATTTGCGGGCGCAAAAGCGAGTACTGTGAAACCTACATTCGCGGGATGACGGTGCCATCTTTGAAATCCATTTTCACGGATAAATGAAAACTTGCTGAACTTACATCTCGCGCCACTTTGCATACATCTGAAAAGTTTTGTGGAAAATTAAAATTTTCCCGCTAGCTCGGCTGCCGCCAACGAAATTTCAATTGGCTTGTCAGAAACGCGAGTCCCGGCACCTGGATTTTAATTAATGCGGCAAACCAAGATCGCAGATAGATCCCCTCGCATAGATTTTAAATTGTCATACTGTTAGGTGATGTATAAGCGTATTATTATCCGTTATGAATTTCGCGGAAGATTTATGAAAACATTTCCGAAATTAATTGCTACATTAAATCGCGTATGACAGATATTATCGCCGCGGAAGTGATTCACGCTCTGTCATTAATTATACAATAATTTCACGCTTTTCATAGTCGCGGCCGCGGGGAGCGAAATAAAGCGCGAGTCGTTTCAAAATTTCTCTCGGCGAGACACTTAAACTTGTCATACGTGGGGTCTGAACGTTTCCGCGTGTTCAGCCTCCCTCGGTCGATCTCGGAGATGCAACAGCTACACGATGCAAAACGGCCCCGGGTTCTCCGCCTCCTTTTTTCAGCATTCGCGCCGAAGATCTCCAATTTCGGATATATCTTTATCGCCGCTGACGTTTGTTTACGGAACACCCTATGCATAACGCACCTCCTCCCCCCCCTCCCTATTTCTCGGGAACAAAATAAACAAAAAGCTGCTATGAATATAAATCCGACCCTCGATTTTATGAACACTTCCGTTTCGAATTTCGTTTATTGCAGGATCGTTGTTGGCTGTCAACAACGCGGTAACAACGGCCCCGGTATTGCGTTTCGCAAAATCCCTCCGTAAACATATCGTCCCCCTTTATGCCAATACCATGAATGCGCGATTCGATAAATTTTAGAAATTCACAGTCATCTTTTTTTTTTACAAAACAAAAAGGACACTTATTCCCACTCGTTTTTCTATAAAAAAAAATGAGGGTGAAAATTTGCACATTCACGGTTTTGGCGTAAGTGGGACGCGTGTCTCATTCGATATGCGTGGGGGAAAAAAGCGCGACTCGTGTATCACGCCCGAATTTAGAAAACATATATATACTTTTTACGATTTCCACTTGCATTATTTCGGAATTAAATCGCCGGACTGAAGCGGGGGCGAAATAAGAGCGCGATATCGAAACAGCCTGAACGCAGAAGGTATCGCGGCTCGAGGGGGGATTAACCCTCGCAACATGGCGGAATTACCGGTCAACAACTAATTACGCGCGAGATTACGAACGCGATCGCGCGCGAATCGGATCGCGCGTTAAATAACGCATTTTCTAAGCGCCCTGAAAAAAAACCCGGAAATAACTAACTATATATCTGTTATTCAGGACGACTCGTGGATTTCGCGAAGGGAGTAAACCAGGGTTGTAAACCGGAGCAAAAATACGTTCTTTGGAGCGGTTTTGAACCGGTTTGAATTTAAAAACCGCTCCGCAAACCGGATGAATTTACGGAGTAAATTATTTGGAACTTGGAATGTAAACCGAACCGGAGCGAATAAGATTGTAAACCGGAGCATAAATACGTTCTTTGGAGCGGTTTTGAACCGGTTCGAATTTAAAAACCGCTCCGAAAACCGAATGAATGAAGTAAATTATTTAGAACTTGGAATGCAAGTCGAATCGAACTGGTGAAATTTACACATTTACCACCTTTCCAGCTATGTAGCAAAGATTCAAACGTGGTAAATCTTTTTAAATAAATTAAATCCTTTTTAGATAAAGAAACCGCCCCAAAACCGGTTTTTCATGCTCCGGTTCGAAATCATAATAAAAAATGGTTCGCTCCGGATCGGAACGATTTTATAATTGAAATTTTGATCCGTTCTCTCGGAGCGGATACACTTCAATGGTTCGGTTCGGTTTACAACTCTGGAGTAAACATTTCGTTACACCCGTGGACACGGGAGACGCGGCGTCGCGCAAAAAGCGCCAACTTCGTGGCGAAGCGCGTAGACGAGTTTTCGGGAATTTTCCGGCGGCGAAAACGGCCGTTTTGAGAGACACTGGTCTAAACGACGCCACGTCCTGCTGCCCTAAGTTATCAAACCCTCCTCCCTCGTGGCAACCCTTACGTGGGCGCCCTCGGCGTCCCTTCGGCGGTGGCGCGTTAGACTCGAGCCGGGGCAAAGGGAAGGGAGGGGGGGGGGGGGGGAGAGACGCGTAGGCTCGCCGGTCGTCCGTGACGCGAGTCCGAGGGTGAAGAACGGCAGGCGCGCGGCGACTCGTACAGTCGAGCGTGAGACCCGGTCGGAGTGAGTCGCGCGCCTAGCTTTCACTCGTTCCGCGCCTTTCGCGCGCACGTCCCTCGCCGATCGCGTCGTTGTGAAATCCTTCGGAGAGGAGAGGAGAGAGAGAGAGCGAGAGAGAGAGAGAGAGGAAGAGAGAGAGGAAGAGAGCGCGCGCCGAGCGCGACGTCGTTACTCGCCGCGACAGGTCGCGGCGTCTTCGAGAAAATCGGGTGGAAAACGTGGCCGTGAGTACGGCGAAGCCGCCGATCGAGCGGAGGGAGTCCCGATCCCGCACGAGCGACGCTCGCAGTTGCGCGCGAGACGCCGTCGAGGTGAGTTCGCGCCCGAGCGAGGTGGCGTTTCCACGCGGGGGATTCGCGGCTGACGGGAATCTTGCGCGCTCAACGTTCGAGCCTGGGTTTCGTCGCCGTGTTCGGGGATTAATAAACGCCGCGGCGGAGACGCGCGCGGGGGAGACCGCACCGGTTCGAGACGGCGGCGATTTAACCTCTCCGGAATAGTCGGTACCGTGGCTGTGCGTATATATACGTGTTTACGTTCGCGCGCGTACGTATTTTCGCGACGCCCACGGTTCCCGCTTCTAGTTTCCGCGCTGGAAGGTTTAATTTTGTGGTGACGCGCCCCCCCCCTCCCTCCCCCCCAGAGTGTGTGTGTGTGTGTGTCGATCCTCGCGATCGCGTTCTCGGAGCCGGGCGAGTTCACGGCGGCGAGTAATTGCCTTTGTGCGGCGACGGATTCTCCATTTTGAAGTTTGACGCGGTCGACTTTCCGTTAAAGTTTCGCTCGACCGACGGGAGAATCTCGGCGAGATTCCGCGCGTGAACATCGACACCCTCGATCTGTTCATTCCCGTTTGTTTCCCTTTTATCCGCGGGATCAGTCGATCTCGGTCGGTCGCGATCGATATCACCAGGGGGGGGGGGGGGAGTCGATCGCAGATGCGCCCCGTGTCTCGACAGTTCGCGACGATCTCGGTGACGCAGTTTCCTTTTTTTTTTTCCCTCAAGGCCCGTGTCCACGACGCGAGAACTCGATCAAAGTTCTAGTTCCGAGAAATGTGTGGCCAATCAACCGGCATCTTTTACGGGAAAGCTGCAAGTTGACTGGCCACACCCGAGGGGGAAACCGCTAACCAAAATCTTGTACACTAATGCCCGGTGGACATTACTTTATCTTATTTTTCTCGTTTTATCTTATTGTATCTTATTTTATCTTTACAATGACCCAGCAAGGCCTAATGCCCCAAAAACGGCCTAGTCACGTCTAGTAATGCCGCAAATCTGTACACCACAATGCGGTTTCCCCCCTCGGCTGCACATTTCTCGGGACTAGAACTTGGACACGGTTCTTGGATCGCGGACACGAGACTTTAGGCTGGTTCTACAATAGACGCGCAGCATGTCGCAAGCCGCGGGAAATCGGCTAACGACAGGTCTGGCGTTCTCATATTTGGCTGTAATTGGACGCTTTCTTCCGACTTGCTGCGTCTATTGTAGAACCAGCCTTAAGCCTTGTGTCCACGGTGCTGGAAAACGGTCCGGAATTTCGATTCGAGAAATACATAGCCAGTCAACGTCGGCCTTGTCGGAAAAAACTGCAAGTTGATCGGCTACATACTTCTCGGACCGATTTCCAGCATCGTGGACACAAGGCTTTGCACAGTTTGTCGGGCGCGTCGCGGAGTACATCGCGCGCGCGCGCATAAAGATTTCGCAATCTGTTACCGAGAGTAAAGCCAACGGCACGCGGTATTATTTTTCCTACTGGATTGCTTACGGGAGTCAATCAGGATTTAAGCCAACGGCACACGATACTATTTTTCCCCCCACTGAATTGCTCACGGGAACCAATGAGGATGTAGAGTTTTCGGAGCAGGTAACTCAAGGTTAAATCCTGATTGGCTCTCGTAAGCAATCCAGTAGGAGAAATAGTGCCGTGTGCCGTTGGCTCAAGTCGCGGGGAGATTGATTCATGATTATCGGCCCGGCGCCAAATACGCAATTCATATCCGCGCGGTCGATCCCTAATCGATAAACTCTCGCGCCGCGGTGAATATCGCGGCCCGGAATCAATCGGCCCGGGCTGAAATTCGCCGTCGTACTCGCTCGATTACGAAATTTCGCGGGAGAACTCGATCTTCCCTCGCCGCTAACTTCTCGCCAACTTGGCGCTCTCGGAAATTACGAAACCGCGCTTTTTCAATTTCTTTTCGGATTCCAACTCCGGTAAACTTAATTTCCTCAATTCTTCTCTTTTAGAAACAAAACTGCTTCTTTTTCTTCTTTCATTTTATCAAGTTCGAGCGGGAGGGAGAGGAGAGTCCGAGAATATTCCAGCGAAATACCGGGTTAAACAAACGCGACGAATATCCGTTTCGCTAATTTGCAGCGGGGAATTCAAGTTCACCGTCGGACAGTCGCGAGAGGCGGCCCGGTAGAACGTAGGGAATAATTTTCGCCGAAAGAGGGTGGCTGATGGCAGAGAACGATCCGCAAACGCTTAAGACTGCCTTAAGCCAACGGCACACGATACTATTTTTCCTACTGGATTGCTTACGTGAACCAATAAGGATGCAGATTTTTAGATCGGGTGACTTAAGGCTACACGGAAAAAACAATGTAGCTGCTGTAGCTAAAACTTAGCAAAATAGGGACAGCTAATATTTTAGTTGTGATAGCTCAAAATTTTGCTACTGTGCCTATTGTATTAGGTGCGACAGCAAACGGTTTGCTGTCGTAGCAAAATATTGAGCTATCACAACTAAAAATATTAGCTGTCTCTATTTTGCTAAGTTTTAGCTACAGCAGCTACATTGTTCTTTCCGTGTAAATTCTGATTGGCTCTCGTAAGCAGTCCAGTAGGAAAAGCAGTACCGTGTGCCGTTGGCTTTAGTCGTAGACGCGAGGCGAGGCAGAGGAAAAACGTAAGTCGTGCACAATGGCCTTTTACGACTTACGTTTTTTCTCTGCCTCGCCTTGCGTCTACGACTAGAAACCTGTGTCCCTGTGTCCACGATGCTAGAACTTGGCGCAGGTTCCAGTTCCGAGTGAATGTGTAGCCAATCAACTTGCATCTTTTACGGAAAAGCTGCAAGTTGATTGGCTACACATTTCTCGAAACTGAAACTTGGATCGCGCTCTAGCATCGAGGACGCAGGCCTTAAGCGCCGGTTTCAACAACTGCTAACCAAAGGTTAATCGATTCTCTGGCTCTTCCTCGATGATAAGAGAGGAAAAGATAGGGAGGTGACTGAACTCTGGTTAACAGTTAACCGACGTTTGTGAAATGGGCCGTAAGGGTCAGTTCCACAACTGCTAGCCAAAGATTAATCAATCTCTGGCTTTTCCTAGATGATAAGACAGAAATAGATAGGGACGTGACTGCATGATTAGCAGTTAACCGACGTTCGTGAAACTGGCCCTAAGACAGTCTTAGGCCCGGTTTTTCATTTTCTGGTTAACTGTTAACCAGAAGTTCGTCGACTCTCCATCTTTTTCTGTGTTATCGTCTAAGAGTTAAGGCCTTCACACATAAAATTCCGTAAGGACGTAAAACGTAAGCGTAAGAAAATCAACAGATTGGATTTGCTACTGCTTGCGTTATTGCCTTACGTTCTCGACTGTGCTTGGTCGATTTTCTTATGCCTACGTTTTACGTCCTTACGGAATTTTATGTGCGAAGGCCTTTAACAATTGACAATTGGCCAGAAAATGAAAAAAAAAACCCGTGACTTAACCGTTTACGGATCGCTCTCCGCCATCAGCCAAATGCGCGTCGCCGCCGGTTGAACAACACTGGTCGAAATATTAGCGCGGGCCACATAGGGGGAATGTCCTTTTTTTTACTACGCAGCTCGTCTGCCCTTGAACAGGCTGAAGGAAGAGGGAGCTCGGCCGGGAGCGCGCGTGCACGCATATACATATTTTACATATATACACAGGACGATTCACCGTTCGGCGACTTCGTGGAAGCCGGTGACGCAACCCGCGCGGCGGCTCCCGCGTAGTGCGCACGGAGAGGAAGGAAAACTCGGCGATTGTGACGGTGTAACGGCGCGATTCTAAGTCGCGCTACTCCTCACCTTGTCGGCTTCACCTCGCCTCGTCACCGCACGCCCCTCGTCCCCTACCGTAGTGCGATATCGCGAGCGGACGGGCGGACGCACGCACGTACGTACACGGTTACGATGGTGTGCGTGAGATCGCGCGTGCGAATCGCGAACGAACTCGCCGGCAGCCTGTAACTTGTCCGCGGCAAAGCAGCTGGTGGTTGGTGGCACTCGCGCGCGCGCGCGCGCGGGAGAGGAAGAGCACGGGATACAGCGAGTGGGATATATCGGGTTTTTCTCGACGCCGACTGGGACCCGGGATCGGCGAGATGCGGCTGTTCGTGAGGCCGCCGTGGCGATGGACCGTCAGCGAAGTGGGTGAGTACGAAGCGCCGGACGCGGGGCGTCCCCGGGTTTGCGGTTTGTTCGCCGCCATTTTTCGAAATGAATTTCGCATCGCCGGCTAAAAGTTTGCGCGGAAACTTTGCATTGTCCCGGGTCGGGCGTTACGGTAGCGTTCTCATTGTTGGGTTACGAGCGCGTTTTGTAAATAAGTCTTCAAAGCGTTTTGAATGCACGCTGTTTTGAATATTGTGCGCACACTACTGCGCGTAATTATTTGAACGACTCGAAGAGTTGGAAGAAAAAAAAAATATATAGGGGGTTACATCCGAGGAAAATGATGTTTAGCGATGAAAACTATTTTGTGTGATGAGTTCGTGGATTGGACCGTAATATGATAATGTTTAATTAAAAGATTATTTGTTGTGACTGAAATAATATGAATGTGCTCACTCTTCGCTTCGATTACTGCTCTACAAATTTTGTATTTGTTCGACTAATTGCATTATATCTCCGCTGATATTTCATTTCGTCCCTTTTGTAATTTCTTCCACACGTTCTCTTGTATGTGTGTACGTACAGGGTGTCTCATTTTAAATGATTCACGCAAATATCTCCAAAACTATGAAAGGTACGGAAAAACGTTTCAAGCAAACGTCGCTTGGTTCGAAGGGGGACATAAGGTGGTGCCATTGGCTTGACCTTGGGTAGTCATTTGAAGGTCACCGTTTGTTTGAAACGTTTCTCCGTATCTTTCATATTTTTGGAGATACTTGCGTGGATCATTTGAAATGAGACACCCTGTATAGAGGAAAGTTGTCTACTACGAGATAGGATTCCAATATAAGATAGCGGGTTTCAACACCCAAATTCTTATAAATTGGATAGGAGGAGACTTGTGATGGTTATTCTTTGACAGATAGAGAGAGCGAGAGGGGGGAGACAGAGAGAGAGAGAGAGAGAGAGAGAGGGGGACCAGAGAAGGATAGGATCACGTAGAGTCGTATTAATACATGAAAAATTTTTAACAATGTTTCACCTTTCATTCGTGTCTTTCGAGTTGCAAGATGGTCGCCAATTTCTAAGTCTCGACGGAACACAAATTTTGTAAGTGTGGAAAGTCCGGTGTCGGAACTCGAAAATTTCCAAGTGTTTAACTTACACTGATCCGGTTGATCTTTTCTTTCCCCGTGTATGTCTTAATCGCTCGTCTATATCTACTGGTAAAATGTATGGTAAAAATTCCAAAAACTCTCATAAAGTTCCTCAAAACGCCAAGTCCCACGACTACGTGATTTTTAGGGTAAATTTTAAGAGAAAATTCTCTCCCCGTGTAAGATGAGCTCGCTTGTGTTTATTAAAAATGTATAACCACGTGTGAGCCACATTTATAGTCTAATGATCCGATCCGATTTGTATCACTCGTAAATATATAATCGTATTATTTATGATATGCACTTACAAACGTCTGCTCCGCAGACGTGCGTCATAAATAATGAATAGGCGAATGTACATGCGTATGTATACGCGATTGGAAAATCAACAATTCTATTTGCCTTCGGAAATTCCATGCGGCGCACTTAGCGGTCTAACAAAACGTTTACCGCACGGGAACTCGTAGGACAAGAATAGACTGAGTCGGTGAAAGGGAAAAAAATCAAATAAAAGTTCTAAAATTCTTAAGGCCTGTGTCCACGATGCTAGAACTTGGTTCAAGTTCTACTTCAAGTTCTAGCATCGTGGATACGGGCCTTTGGAAGCCCGACGGCTCCAGGAATTCTTGGAAGGGGGTTAGAGCGACCGAAACAGGTGGAAACCTTGAACCGGTCTTAATGGTAAAAAAATAACAAATGCGATAACAAAAACTTGATAAATTAAGTAACGCGAAACACAACCGGAGCGGCATACAAGCCGCGCGACTCGGGAAGCTATACCCTCGGGTTTATTTATACATCAGCTCCACGCGGGGCGTTATAAAAATTTTTCCGCGAGGCAGCCGGAAAACGTACGTTCCCGCGTATGTTTTGCGCCCCCCCCCCCCCCGCGCGCGCTCGCAAGGCCGACTGACATTTAACTGAAAGTCGACGGACGCGCTTGTTCACGGTTGGCACTTAATCCACGGGCGGAGAAGCGGGTTTTTCTCAAAAGCGGGGAATTGACGGCGGGAGGGAAGCGCGCGCGCGCCCTCGTGCAGAGAAAAATGGCGCGCGCAACCGGCGTTGTACAACTCGCGTGCGATTAAATGGAAACCCGGGATCGCTGTCTTCCACGTTGATAAATCGCGTCTTCGGAATGAGAGAGCGCGGCGGAACTCAAAAAGATGCTCTCTCCGCGAACGCCGGGCTATCTCGCGATCGATGCGCGAGGACAACAGATGATACGCCGGCAGAGGGGCAGGATGGGGGGGGGGGGGGAGGAGGAGAGCATGATATCCGGAAAATTGATTTTTTTCGAATTGTCGAGGTAAAACGATAAAGTCGGTAATACCCTTCCTGTCCTCCTCCGCTCCTACCGTTTTCTTCTCCTCCGGTAATACCACGAGACCTCTGCGTGCGCCGCTTTCGTGCGGAATTTTTCAGCGACTTACTCCGGCGACGTTTCATTAATAAGATAAAACGGAGCATCACGAGGATTCCCGGGCCGTTTTCATGCCCGCGCCTCCTCCCCCCCCCCCCTGTCGACCGCCGCATTCCGCGTTGCGAGGGCGGGCGATTTCGAGGGAGATAATTTCAACAAATGGATTTCGCGCGACGTCAGTTTAATGACACGCTTCCGTTAATAATTTCGTTGCGGGAACGCGATTTTCGCCTCCCAGCGCTGCGGGGATGATAAACACATTTAATTTCAATGCCGCTGTAAACCTGATGCTCCGGCACAGACGCGGGGTCTCGTTTCCCTCCCTCTCTCTCTCTCTCTCTCTTTCTCATTCCGGAGATACGAAATGCCTCGAATTGTTTCCACCGACGTAACGAGATTGCGTCAACCGTTGCGTACCTCGATCGTTCGCTCCCATCGCGAAGTCGATGGGAGCGCACGTAGATGACGTGCCCGCCGACTTGGGGCGAAGTTACGTTGTAATCTTCTTACACCGCGGAGAAACGTCGGAACTTGGACGCGCCGGTCGCGTCAATAAACCATTAGCACGAACGTAAACTAAAAGCCGTACCCTACGGGAACTGCACGTCGCGGCCCGTCGAGGACGGGGGCTTTTTCCCCGAGTCCGAATACGCGAGCAGGAAGGCGCCTCCGACTGTGTCGTGAATTTGAAACTACCTCGACGTTTTTTTTTATTTTTATAGCACGATCGGCAATGGAAATTCGCCCGCCGTGAAATGCGAAATGTTTATTCCTGACGATCCGCCGCGTCGTAGATGAGATAATTATCTGTCATCTGTAAATGAAATTAAGGCAATGTTAAGCTGGCAAAAAACAGACGGGCACTAATAGGTGCTATTTTAAGTGCACTGCTATTTTACTTTAATTTGTGAATGGGAAACTATATCTATTTTTTGAAACAGCATTAGTGCCGCCTGTTTTTGGCCCTTGATTATCTTATTATCTATAGAGGAAAGTCTTATATTACGAGATGGGCTTCTAATATGAGATAGCAGGGTTTTTGGTTAATTAGTAGACATCATCTATTGGTCTCATCGTGAATTCATTGCCCTTGGAGTGAAATCCGTTTAGTGGAAAATTCATTGTTGGATCGTGTAATTGTTGTGAATAAAGATTTGTGATTCGATGTTGAAAAGCTGCTATCTCATAATAGAGAACTTACCTCTATATTTAACGGGCAAGTTTTTGATATTGTGTTTGTAACTAAGGCTTTCGCGTGTGTCCTCTGTTACCGCGACAAAAAGAACGCGAAATTAATCGATGGAAATATGAACTTGGAGCTCTCTCGAAACTTGGGGACAGTTAACTTGGAGGATACAAAATAAATTGATTTGACTTATATAAATAAGTCGCAGAGTTTATGATTTAATTTCGATGGTCTCTACCTTTAAAATGTACTCCGGACTGTGCTCCGAGTTGAAGTTTTAGCGAGGTACGAGTTTAGCGAAGGGAGCGTAAGTTAATGAGAATACGAGAATTTTACAAGGAAAGATTACATCAAAAGCAACATTCTTGAAGTGAATTTAAATTGGCCATTCGTTCCTTTCATCTGTCATCTTAAGTAGTTCGATAATTAAGTCGTAATTTACTCGACGTTCCCCAAAGTCGATTCTAATAAAATTGTCGCATGAAATCCGGAAGTTGATTGAAGAACCATTTACGACCGGAATGTTACTCCGGAACTTTGTTATCTCTTCGTAAACTTACAATGATGGACATTTCCAGCTTGAAATGTTAAACAGTTGAAGCATTAGCGCCGTGAATGAGCTCACAAGCGAATACTTATTAGCAAAGTCAAAAGATACAACGTTTTGAGGAAAGACAGCTCTCTGAGACTTGACGACATCACACATTTTTAAATAGGACATCGATGCATTTGATCAATAACGCATTAAGTGGTATTTTTTAATGAAAAGAGTCATAGGAATTTACAAAAATTAAAGGGACCCCATCAAAGCACCCATACTAACCCGAGGGGGAAACCGCTGAGGGCATTGGGCATTAGGCCTTGCTGGGGCATAAAGATAAAATCAAATAAAATAAGATAATAAGATAAATGCCCACTGGGCATTAGTGGGCTTTAGTGTACAAGATTTTGGTCAGCGGTTTCCCCCTTGTACTAACCGCACCTTCGTGCAGGCGCCACCTTAAAATAATGTTATTTAGAAATGCAGACGTAACATACGTCGCTTTCAAAAACGATCACGGTGTGGCCCACACGATCATAATAGATGACTTTACTATTTTTACCATAAATTCAGTCTTTTCTCGCCCCAGTATAAACTTTAATTACTCAATGAAAATGTTGATAATACAATTTAGCGCTAATTTTATGGATGATATAATTATCGCCATTTAATTATCCGATCCGTTTAAACGCCTCCATTCAGGTCTCCGTACACGTGTGCTCAAGTGCATTC